CCTCCGTCATTTTCCATTATTCTTGTTCAAAATTTAATGTAGAACACGAAAATGACATTATCTACTCAAATCCATATACAGGTAATTGAGAAATCGCTGTATTAAGTTTAAAAGCATGGTTATTTTTGAAAAACATAAAATAATTGTTTGGGACGCTAATTTTGAGACTTGGAACATTTGATATGCATCAGCACACTTCATTTACTTTGTACTTACATCAAACAAATCTTGTCACACTGAGTACAAATCACCCTGTATATATAGATAAACCAATAGAGGTGGCTTATATGGATTCTTGGCAGTGACCACAGTAAGCTAATATTATTTATTGCCTAAAGCATAGTTTGAAAATATATCACAATTGAAAAATATATAGTAAATAAATTATAAATAAAAAATAAATGGCAGCTTCCCGCTCAGCCTTGACCTGTAGCCTTGTTTGTAATTGATCATGAGTTTATGCGGCACGAAGGGCTGCCTGACGTTCTGCCTGTTCCAACCTCCTATGTTCGGGTGCGTTCACAAAGAAAGCTGGTTACAAGTAAAAGTAACTTATTCAGCGCTTGTTCCAAGCGCTTGAGAATGCTGTTGTGTGTTCACAACAAACGCTTGCATTTCAAGCTCAGTGTAGTCTCAGCTCTGGTTGAGACAATATCTTCCTCAAGTGATGAAGAGTTGTTTTTTTTTATTGAAAATGTAGAATTAAAAATTCGTAAAAGGGAAGTAGGTGTTCATGCAATTAACCGCGGAAGAGGTAGGTTCGGGGAATACCACCACCATCTATTTCGTCAATTGAAATTGGTCAAAGTGAGGTTTTTTCTTATATGAGAATGGAGTTAACCACGTTTAATTACATCCTCAAGAAAATTGAAAGTGTTTTAGTAAAGTTTTGGGGGAATTGGCATAAGCAACCTATCCGTGCACCAGGACGAATTTTGGACCAATAATAAAACCTAAAAAATACTCGAAGGGAGTTTTAAACGCCCTATGTAGCTGATTAGTTATGATGCAAATAATACTATGACATATTCAAATGTTTAAATTTTCAAGGTAAATAAAGTAAAAGTATACAAGTTTTTTCTATAAAAAACCAACACTTAATTAATATGGAATTAAATATGTTTGTCATCTTAATAAATGTATTTTATATTTGTCCTATTGGTTACGTTATTGAACCTTCTAGAGAAAAATCACAATACGTGGGTAATATATTTTTTGGAAATTGGAAGCTCTAAATACTTGAAGTATCAACTAATCGACATCCTACTGCACTGTTAGTAGTTTGTAACTGACTGGTTCGGTCAACAAGCGCCGGAAAACAGTCTGTGACGAAACGTTCTTGCGTGCTTGTCAGAGCTTGCAACAAGCGCTTGCTAGCCGGCACAAGCTTTGAGCTAGCTGTCACTGATATGTTTACATTAAAATTTGTTTACAAATACTGCAACCATTTCCGATCAAGTTTTGTTAGCACATCCTACGATTACTAGAAAAATACCGGTATGTATCGTAAACATAAACTAGGTGTAAAATGCAGTTGTCTGCTTGCATTATTGAGCGGAGCTAGCATATTGATCCAATACTTTTCTAAAGTCAACGGCACATCTGTTTCTCGTAAATGAGATTAAATACTTGCAGTATCCAATGTCAATAATCTATTTTATTTACATAAATGGAATGACTATTTGCAGTATTCAAATCCAATTATAAGTCTGGTTCACGTAAATGAATTGTCTATTTACATGAACCAAAGTCTATGTTTCATCTGGTTCTCGTATATTAAATGTCTACTACATAAACACTACATATGTAATTTGGTTCGCATGAATAAAATGCCTATTTGCAGCATCCAAAGTCAATGATACGCGTGGTTCACTTAAGTGGAATGTATATTTACAGGTTCTAAAGTCAATGATACGTCTGGTTCACGTAAACGAATTGTGTACTTGCAGTATCTAAACTTAATAGTACATTTGGTTCACGTAAATTGTTTTCTTCCAGTATCATAAATCAATGATACACCTGCTTCACATAAATAAGAAATCTACTTGCAGTATCCAAAGTCAATGGTCGATTTGGTTCACACAAATAAGATGCCTTTTTGCAGTATCCAAAGCCAATGGTAGGCTTACTTCAGGTTTATTTAAATGGAATGTATATTTGCAGTATCCAAACTCAATGGCATTTTGGTTCACGTAAATGAATTAATTGACTACTTGCAGGATCCAAAGCAATGGTTCATTTGATTCACATAAATGAAGTGCCTATCTGCTATATCCACTGCTATAAGTCAATGGTACGTCTGGTTTACGTCAATGGATTTTCTACTTACAGTAAACAAATTCAATTGTAGGCCTATATATTTGGTTCACGTAAATGGAATGGCTATTTCGATTACCTAAGTTAATGGTGCATCAGCCTTATTCCGGCAACACTAATTATTATTGGTTATTCATTTTGTAATAAATTATGCTCAATGATATTAATCCGATCGTTATTCCCTTTTTCTCTGTACGGTATTTGTAATGTACTATTTAGATGATTCGTTGACTAACATATGTTGCGACTCTTGTTTACCTTTTTATTATCTCGCAAATAATGTCATGGCAACCAATTAACCCATAAGGCCCATGTTAAATTTCCAAAATTTTAAATTCACGTAGGGAAAAGCTCTGTGGTCCGATTTGTACCATTTCAGATTTATACCATAGACTAACCGTATGTTTTATCTATGTTTATACCTTCCCATGGTTGGTTACTATGATTGTGCAAAATTTGGTGCAGATCGCTTCAGCCGTTCAGGAGGAGTATTTGTAAAACAAAAGCAGGAGTGTAGTATAAGAGCTTCGCTTCGCTCCGCTCAACAAGTGACGTTTTTGGCCCGAAAATAAACATTATTTAACATTTCTTAAATTGAACTGCCAAAACATATATTCAATGCTATTAGTATAGGATTCGGGCCAACAACGTCATTTGCTTATGTTTATGATCCATACCGGTATTTTTCTAGGATTCGTGGCACATCCAAACCAAGTGAGATTAAAAACGTTGTGCTTTACTTAACCGGTTTAATTAATCGCAAGTGCAACGATTGTTCTTGAGTTTTGATAACCGGGGTAAGTACCGTGAATCTGTGTTGTATTAGTGCTGGGAAACCTATATTTTATTAATCATCGTCACCAATAGCTTAAAAAAAAGGTTTCCACTCATTGACGGCGCTTCAAGGACAGTTGTGTTAAGTACAAAGTAATAAATCACAACTGCAGAGGGTGATCGTGGATGTTGCTGCGATCTTGGAAGATCTTTCTGATTTCGCTGTGATCGTAACAGAGGTTTAACTACAGATGTAGCTAAACTCGCTTTTCCAATGTGTCACTTTTGGTTTCTACTTACTTACATTTCGACAACGATATCGGTACTTTTTCTACTTAGGAAGTAAAACTACAAACGTCCAAAACCCCAGATTTATGCATTTTTTGTCACATTTCCACCAAATGTTTGCTAGATATATGTACTGATTATCGTTTAGAGATTACGTAATCTATTAAATAAGAAACCTTTGTTTGGATAAAGGTGGTTTCTTCAAACTGTCATTAATATGTTAATGCTGCATGTTTTAATGCTACTAACATTATAGTCTGATTTTTACCGGAGTGCGGCTGAAGCTCAGCCCTACCTGCGAGGGACCCGACTCACGCACGCACACTCACCACCGTCCTAATTGCCTGAAAGCCCCGATCCCCTATTCACTAAGTAGAAATATAACATTTGTTGTATGATACCTCAAAATTGCAATTCATTTGATGTTAGATATACAGTAAAATGGTTAGTGTTAGTAAATTTGTTGTTTAATTCGATGAAAAATGAGTCCAAACACGAAATGATTATGACCAGGAGCTAGCTAATAAAAACGTTATAAAAGTTGCTTTAAAATAATACCTTTAATGGGAAATAGCTTTGATTTTCGAAAAAAAAAAATAAAACCAAGGGAGAAATTTACTTAACATTAACTTAAAATTAACTTCGGAACTGCACCACATCAAGTGAAAGTTTTTTTGAGCAAACCATAGTGAGTTTTTAAAGCCTTACGTTGTTAACGTTACATGTAACATGTTTTGTGGCCTGTGTAGGCTATTTATTTATTTATACATTTTCCAACGGTAACACCTATAATACAGTTTGATTAGAAGGACAGTTTGAATTGGTCGTCGTAAGTAGGTACTATAGTTCTTTTCTTAAATAATGTAAACGTTGGTTTTTGGTACTGCTACCAAAAATTCCTTAGAACTGGTGGTAGCAGAAAGAACCATTTTTACGTAGCCTACAAACACATCACTATTTACAGCTATAGTTACCGGTATCGTTAGTGCTGCACCTTATTTATTATTGAATTTAATTGATGTCTTACTGTATAATTTTTGCCTTTTCTGTCTGGACTTCAAAATGTTAGTTTATGCTAAGAAAATTATAAAACATTAGTGAAAGATTTTTTCAGCAAACCACCATGAATTTTTAAAGCTTGGCGTTGTTAACGTATAAATGTTTTGTGGACTGTGTATTTATTTACTTATTTATATATTTGCCAACCGATTTACATCAATTTTACAGTTTGATTAGGCCTAATAAAAACGATTATCATAAAATGTTATGACACTATCAAAACTTGCAAATAATTGTTTTGTTTGTAATGTTAAAGCGTAGCAAATCCCCTTAATCAATTTTGTATTTGTGTGTGTGTGTGTATGTTTGTTGGTAACGCATTAATGTCCTTATTTTTCAGTGTTTCGTGGAAAAGACAAGAGCACCTTTGTTAAAGAAAATATCAACCCCAATAAAGTGTGCAGTAGTGAGGTTAAGGTAGTATTTTAACTACTTTTAACCAACCAGTGTGAAAAGTAACTTTCAATTACATGCCTACCTTAGGGCTATGCCTCATAGATCGATAAAGCAATTCCTTTTATCATTAGATATAACCTTTTATAATGCAATATAGGCATACATACCTCATCAAGAAGTCCGACTGGTTGACTTCCTCGGATCTGGACAACCTGTCCCACGATACGGTCCATTGTACTAAACCATCTAAGGGTTGGTGTGTACACGTCATCCAGCCCTTTGCCCGAGGACTTGCTCTTCTGGATTTTCACGAGCTCGTTACTATAGGTGTTCCGGAGCACGCGGATTTTATCTTTGCATTTTTTAACTGTTAGATCCTTTTTTTGCATGAGTTCAACTATTTCACCCCATGCGAATTCTTTGGCATTTCGATCTTTATATTGGGGGAGTTTGTAATCCCATAAGCAGGGGTAAAGTCCATACAATTCGAGAAAAATGTCGATCTCTGCCGGCTTCCATCTATCTTCCTTCTTTTTACCTTCAACTTTTTCTGGAATTTCTACCTGAGCTTCATTCTTCTGCTTACTCGGATTCTTAACCTTTCCTTTTGATTTTTTTATTCCCAACACTGTGTATCCTTTCTGACTACCATCGACTTCATCACCAATTAATTCCTCCATCACTGGTCCAGCTTCTGTTTCTTCCATGACACCGTAACACACACTTCACTGTATAAAATTAAACAAAGATTATACTAATTAACACCGAAAAACACACGTTTATACAGAGATCAAGCTGTAAACAATATGAAAATGAAGCTAGACGTCCGTCACTAGCACTGGCAAGTGGCACGACTGGCACTGTGGTTTACACGGGCCACCCAAGTGACGCGTCAATACAGATGGCGCGTCAGTCGCTACTGGCGCCTGGCGCCACTAATTTTGTCAAAACATATATTTGTGGCGTGACTCCAGTTGGCTCGCCACTGCGCCTCTCCACTAAAAATGGCGCGTCATTTAAGGCCATTTTAAGGGGTTTACACGGTCCATTTTTGGCACCACTTTGAAGGCAGTACAAATGGTGCCACTGCTACATGCTAGTGTAGACTTAGCTTAAACATTCGCAAATTCAGTATCTGACAGTTTCAAGCCAAAACTAATGCTTCGCAATTAAATGTCACCCGGATCTTGTTGGTCCATATGTTAAATCCAATTATTAAACTAAAAAAATCTTTATGAATCTACTAGCAGTTACCCGGCGCGCGTTGCTGCGCTAACAAAATACAACTGTCTTTGTGAAAATCATGTTTTTTCTACATTTAAACAGAAGATAGTCAGGGATTGCTCTAGTGCCTTATAATGGTGATTGCGAAAGCAAGACACTAAGGAAATTGTAGTTGCTTAAGATCAGAGGGTAATTCGTATGAAATCACCAGTATTCTTGGGATTAAGACTATTTCCCCCTTAAACCACAGAAAACATACTATAGTAATATGTTTTCTGTGCTTAAACCTACCACTGATAATTTTTGCTTTAATCCATTTTGACGTAATTACGTCAATTTGGTATTGTTGCACAGCTTCGGTGGAATAAAGTTTCGCATTAGTATTATTGGAGTTTTTTTTTTTCTTTTAATGACAGTAATGTGGTGGGTTAATGACAAATTGAGAGGCATTTGAATACCCGTGATAGCACGCACGATTATTATTCACTTAATAATTTATGTTAGATTGTGTGGGTATAGAACGAAAGATAAAAATATTAAGGCGTCATCCCTTTTATTGTTTATAATGCTTTGATAAAGGTTTTTATGGTTTTAATATTTAACATTGGAGAATTTAAACGTTGTTGAGTGCACAGGTGTGCTGCGATTGGGGTTTAATACATTTGGACTTCAAAAAGTAAAATAGTTTTTCCTACAGTCACCCGACAAAGTTGGCTTCCTTGTACTGTGTATAGTAAAGGAAGCTGCTAATTGCTGCATATTTATACTTTGTCGTACGGTTTATACTTTGCCGCACATCAGGATTCCAACGAAACAACACAAAACAGCGTGGTTCTATTATGCACGTAATCCGTGTCACAGAAAACATACTACTGTACTACTATAACCCAGAATTGACAGGCAAAGCTCTCTCAAAACACTTAATGCTTTTTACCATGCGGTTGGAATTCTGGGTTGTAGTAGTATGTTTTCTGTGTCCATGTACGCTTGAAAATAGGTTGGCAACACTTAAAGATAATAATACTATGAGCAGCTGATTGACTATTATAACTACGATTTAACCTGTCATTTCGTGTTTATAGTTTATAGTTTCGGTATTTCTGAACTTTCTGCACTTTTCTTTTAAACGTTTTTAAAACATTCCTACGATCTTAATAGACAAAAAAATACCTTTAAAGCATTTTTTTAGGCGTGGAAACCACTCCAAATTACAAAAACATACGGAATTATAGAGAGTTATTATAGTTATTATTGTTAAAAAATTTGAATTATATTTTAATCAATAAAACAAGCATTAGTACATCTATTGACTTTTTACATTTAGTTACCACTTATACAAATATCAAATCACGTTTGTTCCGCTCAACTGGCTTTCACCTATCAGAAAGCAACCCTAGTCACATGTATGATGTAATTGGTCTAATAAGCTATCTATCCATCTAGTGCAGGGACGCCACTATGTTTGAGCAAACACCCCCGTCACAGCAAACCTACAGATTAAGAGAATCTACATTTCCCTGATTGTATAACAGTATGCTCGTTATACAGTATTAAATTAGTCAATCCCAACATCGGATTTCAAGTTGTCATCGTACCATCAATTATTGCTTAAAAAAATGTCGAGTGACAAGACCAGGACTCGTAAATAAACACATAAATAAAGATACGAGTAAAATCTTTCACTTTTGCGGAGAAGTAGATGAAATATTAAATTATCGTATGCTTCAACAAATTATGGTACAATTGGCAACACTGCTGTCGCGACCCAGACACCTGTTTGTAGGAGGGAGAGGGGAGCTCAACCTATCCCTTTCTCCCTCTTTCATTTCCCTCCCTTCCCTTCCCTTTATTCAGTCTTCACTCTTCAGTCTTCTCTTCTGCTCAGTGCGTCTGTCAGAGTGTAAAGTCAGGTCAGTTTTCGTTGAAGCTGTTGTGTTGATAAGATAAGTTCAGGGTGTTCCAACCTCTAGTGCAATTCAGTGCGTGATTTCACAATTGTTAGAACATGAAATGTGCTTTGTGATCCACGGTTGAACTAACGGATCTCAACAACTGGTAAGTGATTTCAATCATAAACAGTAAAATATCTTACCAGATCTATTTGGGTTAGGCTATATTGCACATGTGATTTGATAAGAACACTTCACTTGATTTTTTTAAAGTATGCATAGTGCGTTAAGGAGATATTGCACACTTCGAGAAAAGGTTTTTGCTTTACGTGTACAGTACAGTATGTGGTTGTCTGCAATGATAATGTGGGAATTAAAAAATACACGCTAATCATGCCATACACGTTATCGTTATCTCGTGTCCATAAAACAATTTTTCATAACAGACAGGATGTATCCTTCTTGTGGGCTTTACAGTTGGTCTAATTGAGTCTTACACCGCCAATACCAACCGGATTAACTGTTTTGAAAGACGATTTATTTGTGTTAGGTCACCGTATGAAATCCAACCCGTTAAATACTCGAAATTTTCAAAAAGTCAACTATTTTGTTTATTTAAGTATACCGTTTGGAAAACATTGACTACTGAATATAAATTACTCAGTTATAAATAGGTAATTGATCAGTCAACTTTATCGCCCACTGTTGATTTCGTTATAACCGAAAATAGGGTACCTCTAAACTCTATTCAATAAACTTTGACCCAGCAGTTCTGATACAAATTGCCGGTGTTTACTCAAATGTTAAAAGATATTGAATTTATACAGTTTGAAAATAATAGCTTATTGCCTATTGTGGTTGCTCTATTTAGTGCACTGAGAAAGACCTACTAAATAATAGGCAACTATGCACCATTAAAAGCCATGTATATAAACGCAATAATATACTAATTATATATTTTAGTAGTATTTTAAATCGATTGAGACTCGATAGGCCTGTACCATAGATTAAACATGAACTCAATGGCTTTACATAATTTCAAATTTAGAAGTAAAGTAGTTTGATTGGTCTTAAGTTAATGTTAAATGTTTATACCGGTAACAGAAACTTTTTCAAATACTGTACTGAAAATATCTTGATTGTATTTAGACTCGTAGCTAGTTTAGTTTCGAGTCAATACAGACACACATGTGTATTTGATTTTGATACTGTCATACTAACGAAGTAGGCTATCTTCTTAAAATCAGCGCCTAGAGGTTGAAGCATTTTGTTCCTAACCTTGCTGTTGCTGATAAGGTTATCAACTCTGGTTGAACATCACCGTTACCATTGAAACATGCATTGTGTTTGTGTAGGTAACAGTACAACAACCATCGAAAAACGCTGCTAAAATTGGTATTTCAATTTGACCCCTGATCAAACAGATCCAAAACGGTTTAATTTACCTGGAAACCAACTGTTGAAGACTGTTTCCCCTTGATCTGCATTAATTTAACATACATGTGTATATTTCTCAAGTGTTATTATTTCATTTTCATTCTGTTTACTTTTTCATTACATTGTTTTTTATTGCTCAAGTTAAGATGGTTTCTTTTTTATAATTTTAATTTTTTCCATTTCCCAATCCAACACCAGCTACAACTGCCAACTTACATAATTTTTTTTCGGATAATTCCCGCAAATTAAAATGAAGTTGGCTCGAATTTTATTCCTCAAATTTTTTTAGGCCTAATGTATTCAAATTAAACAGATCGTCAACGGGTTTTAAAATATACTTTATGGAACAGAGAGTGGAAACTAAAGTTTTTTTTATTTAGCATTTTTAATTTTTAATCGTCTGCGTATCGGCCATTTTGTTTACAGATTAGGACTACTGTGTCAAAATGTGTAGTGTTTTGTCAAAGTATAACCATTGACTTTATATATAAAGTCAATGGTATAACATTGAGTTTCCCAAATTCTGTTTACTTTCCTAAAACTTTTTGTAGGCTACCAACATTCTTGCTGATTTCCTATGTAGCCTCGCCACATTATGAAGTTAACACGAAAACACTTAACATTCTCTTTCCGATTCGCGTGAGTAAGTTACGTGTTAGTTCTCTGGGATGTGAAGGGAGACAGTTGCATTTCATTACAGCTGTTCCATTAAAAATAGTTCCCAAGTTAGTCGTTCCGCTCGGCTGGGAGGGGAAAGTGTCGCGGGCCGGAAGTGTCGGGGACCGGACCGGAAGTGACGCAACAATAGTCACGCTCTCGCATTATCTGCGATTGTTTTGTGCCGACACGAGCCGGGTTTTGGTGCTGGTAGTGTGGTATTAAACAATAGCCTAGTTGGGGCTTCAAAAGATGTGGTGTAAATTGACTTGAATACTCTGACTGTAGCCTAGGGCCTACTTTAATATCGGTTCGAGGCCATCGATATTCCGCCCTATCTAGGTCGAGTTCGCATGCTATACTACAAGCCGGCGTTTTTACACACCGCTCTCAGGAGTCCAGCTCGGAAACTTTTATTAAAAGACCTGGTAAAAGTTGACTCTGCGGCTTTTATACATCACTCACTAGGTTTTGAGAACTAAATCCAAATCCAAGTGTTAATGTACTCGCTGTTACTTGTGCACATGCTTTGTAAAGTCATGTAGTGAAGCCCCTTCAATGTAACGTGATTCATAGCGGAAGTAATTGAAGACCTAATTCCTAGTGATTGTAAGGATCTGTGCCGTGGCAAAACTCATATGCTTAGACAGCATTCAAAATTATAGTAGTAAAAAGTTTGGAAACAAGTTATTATTTACTGTACCTACTAATCAAGATAAGGCAGCTGTACTTCCTAGAATAATATAATTACCAATTTGTGTACCACTCAACCTATGAACTCATTTAAGATTTTCTTGTGACTCCTTGTGGGCCGTCCCCCTGAGAAGATGAAAACTTAAAAACACCTTCAAAAGAATTACCTTCCCTTCCATGTTCCCCTCTTAGTGAAGGAAAGAGTAGTTTGTAGAAAGATAAAGCGATGTTAGACAGGTGGGTGATTGTTACTAAAAAAGTGCATTGGATTGAAATGCATACAAGATAACAACCGAATAGGATGTTCAAAATAGAAACTATACCTAACACTATGTTTAAATTTACTGTCGAACTTAAAACTCCAAAATAATTATATAATAAATTGACGTTAATATTCCATTAATGAATGGAATTTTCTGTTATATCGCAGAAACCCTATTGTGTCCTGTTACTGTTGTACAAAGTATTCTGATTTCACTGTTTAATAGTTAGTCATGAGAGCTTTGTCATAGAAGTATTTTACTTCATCCTGCTGTAGTTTAAAAATATTCTTTGCAAATCCATTATATTGGATTAATTTGCATTAGCTATGCTTATGTTTGGAAACTGGTTTATGCATGTGTACACCTGCAGTTGAAAAAAAAGAACTTGCTGTAATATCAAAAAGTATTTGTATTTTTAGTCACTATTCACTCTGACGCTTCAAGGATTGAACAAAATCTTGTATTTTTGATGTATTCTGACAATGGGAAAAACTACAAAGCGCAATGGGTTCTACCGATTCTTTCCTTGAATTATCTAATGAATCTTTATCACTACATAACAATGCAATATAGAGTTGTCAGTGAACGTTTCGCCCGGCGCTATCGATTGACCCTAATACTGTGCGAGTTTGGTAAGGATTCCTTTACAACAGGTCTATCGGCCTATCACTGTCTCAAAGGATTATGTGACTAGGTTATGTTATGTTGGCGAATTATTTAACATGTTGAATAAAGTAGATGAGATGATTTCTTTCTGTGTCGCGGTGTCTTTGTTTTTCCTCAAATAGCCTATGTAAATTAATAAGTCTTGAAACTGGTGGCAGTGTCATTATTATTTTCTTTGTCATTATGTGATGGGGACGCCATCTATGTGCATATTTTAACCTAAATATGAGTGAAGGAAGAGTTTAGAATAAAGTGAGATTTCTTGTGTGGTTTTGTTACCATCTGTTTTATTAGCTAGGTCAGGTCCATAGAAGCCCAGTGATCAAGGACAGCTGGGTCCAGTTTTGAACCATCAAAAGGCTACTAACCTTTCTCAAGTCGAATCTGGCGACCTTTATTATTACGAGCATTATAACCACTCAGCTACCCAGTCCAGCTATGAACCTCTATCTACCAGCAGACTTAAAACAATTTGCTTTAACAATAAAAAAAAAACACCTTAGTACTTCTAGTTTAGTGCGTTAGCACTATTATTTCCTAGGCTGTGTGCTGTGAAATTGATTATTTTAAACCTGAAGGGTCGAAGGTCACAGGTTCGATTCTGAGAACAGTCATTGGATTTTTAATTGAGCGAAACTGGTCCTACCACAATCTTTGCCCTTGGGCTTCATAAAAGTATGATCCTGGGCCTGGGTCAAGAAACAGCTGATTTTAGTAACAAAGCTACAAAGCTGCTTTTAGTATCATCTCACTCCATTATAGACTCGCCACATGTGCATTGTCATTCATTTGCATGTGGCATGTGAATTCATTTTAGGTGTATTGACAATAAGGATAATACCCCCGCCGCAGCAAACCTGCAGACTTAGCGAATTTCCATTTGCTTGATTGGATTTAAACTAAAATGTCTCCTTAAAAATATCACATTTATTCCCTATTTTTTAAACAGAATTAGTTTATGAGTACTTAGGTTTGCTGCAACAGGGAGGGTTAAAAAGTTTTTTTATGTCAAATATTAAAAGGTACTGTGGTTTAGTAAGAAATTAATGTATTTTCCAAATTTGATCATAAAAAAGGTTCATAAACAAGCAAACTACAAAAGTTGACTTATTCTCCATAAGAATAACATGGGAATTTTAAAATTACAATTTATTTGAATTTTCTCCGTAACAATTAGGCGCATAATAACGCTTCAATATACTAAATTATTTGTTTTTTTAAGCTCTATAAAATGTTTTTAAAAGAAATTGTGAAATTTTGTGTTTTTAGGGTCAGAAATGGGAAAAACCTATTTTTACCCCATAAAACCCCCCATAAACCCCCGTTCCCATAGTCCGATCATGATGGTTCGTGAACTCATTCAATCTCGCCTTACACCTTCAAACCAAATTTTATCAAAATCAGACAAAAATTAGGCTACTCAAGTTACCGTGCGGATTGACACACACAC